TGAAGACTGGGGGGGAGGGGGGGAGTGTAGGGGGCGGGTTTGTAGGGTATACCCTTTGGTCGGTTGATGATGCATGGAGAGGATTGGAACCATGGCAATGAAACGATATACGATAGAATGAATGTAAAACTAAAGTTCTCTCATGTAAACTATCATATAATTCACAATAAAACATTAAAAAAAAGTCAATGGGAAATGGAATTCAAAGATAAAGCTCTGTAGAAGTCTACAGGGTCAAGTTGGCTAACTGTGTTGTTTAGGTTTTCTGTGTCTTTGTTGAGTTTATTTCTAGATGTTTTGCACTACATCAAAAATGGTATATTAAAATTTTCTATTATTGTAATAATAATAATAATAATAGTCCTGTAATAATATGTGCTGCTATGGGAAGTCCCTAAAACAGTCATGTTAAGAGGCCACGTTAACAAGAAATTCTATGTAGTATGCTATTTTGTCTTCTAGCCTTAAAAAAAAACAACTTACATATATATATATAGTCATTAAGTGCCATCAAGTTGGTTCCAACTCATAGAGACCCTGTATAGGGTTTCTGAAGCTTTAAATCTTCGAAGGAGCAAAAATCCTCATCTTTCTCCCAGAGTGGCTGGCATGCTTAAACTACAGACCTTGTGGTTTGCAGTCCAGTGCTTATTATATGGAGCCACTGCGCTCCCATATATATATGTGTGTATATTTAAACTATGTAAATGTTTAATTTCTATTTAACAAATGTTTAGCAGTGGGTGCTTTGAAGATTTGAGGTGGGTGGGAAAATATTGTGTATCCTTTTGATGTGTTAAAAAATTATTTTTTTACCATGAACCTGTTCAATTTTTAACATGAAATTTTCATTCTCTAATAAGCCTATTATTTCCCTCTAAACATATTTGAAGGCTGGAATCCAGATGCCAGATACCCAGAGCATTTTCTGCAGGAAGCTAAATTACTCCACTGGAATGGAAGGCATAAGCCTTGGGATTTCCCGAGCACTCACAATGACTTATGGGAAAGCTGGTTTGTTCCTGATCCTGTGGGAGTATTTAAACTCCATCACCACAACAGCTGAGAGAACTCACCAGCCTTTAACTGCTTCCTATGTAACAACGTGGAACTGACTGACCATTTGTGCCTACTCTGACACTGTTCTTTACCAACAGTACTTGGAGACATATGATCCACACTAGAAAAGAGGAAGCAAAAACATTGTGCACAAATTATACAATCAAGACCCTGGAGGAAAAAAGTTAACATTTTAAGAAGATGAAATTGTAAAGAAACAACTATAAACTCTTGGTGGGAGGATAAACTGACCCATCTTCTTTGGGAGTAATAACCAATATAACGCTGTATTTTAAATATTTCCAGTACAAAACTGTGGGATTGTTTATTTGTGTCCACGATGACAGTTCTTTATCAAGAGTACTTGGTGCATGCTAGAAAATAAAAATCCAAAAAACTACTTTGTGCAAATTATACCTTGGATGGAAATCAAAATTATCTAAGGATTATGTAGCTCACTGGACAGACATAACCCCATCTAGCTATAAGCATCAATTTGGGTAACCCTGAAGAACAATTATATTCACAAATTAAAAATTTTTATAATGAATATTTCTAAATGTATTTTCACATATAAGTATTTCTTTAAACAAGTGCCTGTATTGTCTTTCATAGCACTATTACGCTTAAAATACGAGTATCTTAAAAGAAGGAATACTCATTGATTCTATATTGATATGGTCCATATTTTCATGATGTATATTACTGTACATGTTAACAAGGAAAGTTAACTGATCTCTGGCTTACAGGGAAAAAGAAAAAGCCTGCAAGTTAAGGATAACCATTCTTAATATTCTTTATTGTAAAAACCAACAGTCTTTCAAATGAATTTAAAAACTTTTTCAATATTATTTCATGAAAAAGCCATACACTGTCATGTACATGATAAGTCAACATTTACTACACATTTGCATTGTTTATTGAAAAATGCCTTTATTGTACACTTCAAAAATCTTCAAACCCACTCTCTAATGAGTGCCTGTCATAATTTAAAGGGTATTTTCTCACTCAAAAAAAAAAATCTACTGGAAAGCTACAATAGTTATATTTCGAAGCAAAACTTAGTTACATGCTTTACATAATCCCATGAAAAAATAATTCAATTGCTCCTAATCCCTGATGCAAGGCACTTCAAGCACCCGCACAAAACGCCCATGTAAACAGCAGTACAGTACATCATTTAAATAACATGAATGACTTCTACACAGCTTGACCTAGACTTCAGGAAAACAAGTTCTACCACAGCCACAGCTAGAAAACATGTTTAGATTCACAAGAATTTGTTTCTCTTATTATAAAGAGAACAAGGCCTTATAATTTCCAGGGGGCGGGTGGGACCCTCATAAATATTTCATATGGAAAAAAACACAGCATGCTCCCTGGGTAAGTCTGAAATCAGAGTATTCCGGTTGATAATAGTGAATGCAAATGGCGTTTGAACACCCAGCTTCAATACCCACCAGACCTAGCGGTTCTGGATATTTGTAGCACCATTGAAAACTGCATTGGGAAATCACAAAGGTACATAATTCAAACTGACCTTTCCATGAGGTCCACTTAGTCCATGGTAACAAAGAACAAGGATATAGAGAAAGGAGATCTGTGAATGACTGGCTTAGCAGATTTGCCTAGCAAGAAGAATTCAGTATGATGTCCATTTCACATACATACAGCACCAGCTTAAATAAGATTATCAAACACCTCCAGCATCATTTTGATCAGCCTGAAAGTTCCCTTCTTAACACGTCCCATGTCGTATCCACAAAACCAAAGAGGGGAAACCAGACTAATAATGATGGACACTGAGCGAGAGGTTCAGGGCCTTCTCTATCTAATTTAGGTCTCTCAAGTAAAACACAGATGAAGTGGTAAAATATCAAAAGGCTCCTGCAGTCTTTGGAATTTACCATTCCAGCAAAATAGTCTCTGTGTACAACAGGAGCCTAGTGTGGCGTTGTAGGTTAAGCACTAGACTGCTAACTGCAAAGTTGGCAGTTCAAATTCAACAGCTGCTTTGTGGGAGAAAGGTGAGACTTTCTGCTGCTGTAAACAATTACAGCCTGGGAAACCCTATACAGGATTGCTATGAGTCAGAATCGACTCAGTGGCAGAGAGTCTGAGTTGACAGAATTAATAGACGGGGTGGAGGCCAAAGCTAGGGCCCCATGTGCCCTGCCAGGCAAGGGCGGTTCAGCTTTGCTACTATAAGCAAAGCTCACAAACAAACACACACCACTGGGAAAGCAAAGGGCTATGAATGTGAATATGATGCAGGGACCCATCAAATGACTCTAAAAACTACCCAATGAGATTCCACCAAGGGTTAGCTTCATAAATGAAACCAACACATGTGATCTCTTCCCCAGTGATAATTCTTATTATTAGCATGCCCTACTTAGGCATAAAAGGGAGAATGGTGTATCTAGTTTTACACATAGTAAAGTTAAAAATCAACTATAAATATCCAGTTGTATTTAAATATTACAGATTAAAAGTGACTCAAAGAAAATCAATTTCTTCATAAATGAAATATAGTTCATAAAAAACTGGAATGATGGTTAATTCAAATATAAAAACTCATAGACAAAAAACACTATTTTTTCTTTTCAAACTACCTAGTTCATACAGTTGACCCTATCACATGACTGTTCTGTACTACGATTACACTAGTAGACCTGAACACTACCACAATACTTCAGTTAGCAAACAGCTCCACTTCTGGACGACTGCATTAAAACTGCAGCATTAAGCAGAGCCGAGGAACACCCCTCTCAGGCCTGGCTTCCTTCTTCCTGGGCTTGTGTCCCACAATGACTATTGAAGGAAGGAATCTGGTCTGTAAACGACTGGGTCATCCACTGCCCATTTGGAATGTCACTCAAAGTAGATTCTCCATGTAATGCTACACCGTCAGCTGCTGGGAGAGGTCAGGAAAAAGAGCATTAATCTATTCTGCATTTTAAATGATCACATTAGAAGGAGAATTATTATTAAAATACTTAAGCAAGTTTCTTGAATGGAATCAGACACTTGTGTCTGTTTTCAGATACCAAACAAAACACAAATCCATGGCCATTAGGACAATTTCAACTTAGAGTGACCCTATATAGGGTTTCTAAGACTGTAAATCTTTATGGGAGCAGACAACAAGAGTATCTAGTGGGTTTGAACCACTGACCTTACCATGGCGCCACCACAGGACTTACAAATCCTTAACTGTTATTTCAGGAGGAAAATGCAACTAGGATGACTTGGAGTCCATGAGTTAAAGAAAATGAGCTATGAAAGTCTGTGTAATTAAACACCACACTATCATCAACTCGTCACCATCGGTCTCTAGGTTTCAGTATTGCCATTCCCATTCTTCAATAAGTTGTCTTATCAGCAGTTCCACCCCCATCCCCAATCCTGATCAAACCCAGCATTTGCAAGGATCACGTGCAGGGATAGGACGTACTTAGCCCATTTGTAGAAAAGCTGCAAGGTTCGCTATTGCACACATTCTCGCCATAAGCGCTACCATACGCGGCTTCATACCCGGGGTCGTATTTTTCTTCTTTAACAGCCATCTTCTTTGCATCCTCTGTGAAGAGAGCAAAGAAAATTTAGGCCTGATTTTGAAGGCTAGTTTTAAAAATCACTTTATTCAGAAAACAAGCAATTTTTTTTAATACACGTATAAACTTATTAAATATCTCCAAATATAACAGATGAAATACATCTGTTGCTATATTATTTTAAACTCTTTGTAACACATGCTATATCACTTCCCACAAATTGTGAAAACCTACTATATTTTATTTCAAATGGGCTATGTCTCTTGGGTCCTCAGTGTTTGTGAGAGAATCAGAGTAGACGGCAGACAGTGGTAAATGGAGACTGTAATCTCCATTGTCAAACACTCTGGTTATAGATACAAGAATTCTTTTCTCTTATTCCAGCTTTTAAATCCCCAACGTACTTTCTGTGATGTGAAGATACACAAATGAAACAAAGAGATAATGGTAACATACCTTGGGCAAGCTGTAAGTCAAATGTATACTGCACCTCCTGAATGTCTGTGTTTCGTTCGATGCCTTTCAACTGATCTCTTAAATCCTTGAGTTTAATGTAGTAATGAACTTTGTCTTGGGCTCGAGGAAACTGAGCACATCTTGCACTGGATGATGGCATAACATAGCAGAGCTAGAATCATAAAGATGTAGAGTTACGGAAATCTTTTAATTCTACTGAATTCATTCATTATACAGATTAGAACATTTACATCTTCAGTTGGGTTAATGAATTACTTTCCACATCAATATATATAAAGTCAATGACACAGTAATGCATACATTCAAATCTGTAATCCTTTGCAAGTCAATACTAACAACGAGGCTCTCTCTCTGTACCCCTGTGTTCACCTACCAGTTATCAGCATTTTCTTTTTAATAGCCATTACCTGGTTCCTAATGTTACAAGGTACAAAAGGAATCTACTGGGCATACAACTGAAGTCTTCCTCCCAACCTTGTCCCAAGTCACCCAACTCCTTTCCTAAAAGGTAATCGAGGTACAATAAACAAATGTGTATTGAGATGTATTTTCTCATCCTTTTTAAAGAACAATGGCAGCCTGCTCTATTTTCTGTTCGGAACCACCAACATTGTGATTCAAACCGACCTTACAGTTCAGTGTTTCTCCTACAGCACCACACCAGGAGCCCGAAATTAGCCTTTATATCATATATTACAAAACTCCAAAACCAAACATTTAAACAAGGGGAACAACACCACATAGGTCTGTCATGTGTGGTTTTCAAAAGGAAACCAGGTTTACTGCTCAGATATACCGTTGGGACTCCTGAAACTATGACCCTCAGCACCCTTCAGGTCTGGAAACGAACTCAGCTAAACAACAGACCAGTCTGTAAGGGGAATATTAATACCTCAGAATAATCAACCATTCAAGATCAAACAGCCAGCTCTTACCCAAGGACAAAGTTTGGAAGAGTTAGGAAAGAAGAAAGAATGAAAACAGGAAACACAGGGAGAAAGTGGGACAAGTGATGTCTCATTGCTAGGACTGCAGTCAATGAGATGAAACAAAGGGTATGAATTGCCAAAAGGTTGGAAAACCACTCTATAAACCTTCACAATAAAAAGAAAAAAAAAAAGTGATCCAAAAGCTTGAAAAAGTAGCATTTGTTTCAAAGCTGAATCATTAATACAATGAACTCTTCATATTCTGTAAGAAACAAATTTAAAGAAATAAACTCACCCACAGATTATTATAAGAGAGAAAACGACCACGACTTGATTCAAGTTTACTGATTACTGTGTGACTATAATCTTGAACGTTGTCGGGATTTAATGGAAAAGCTGGCAGTTTGCTAGGAAGTAGTGGAGTCCTGGTGTGGCGCTGCAGGATAAGCACTGGACTGCAAGGTCAGCTTGAACCATAAGGCCGGCAGTTCAAACTCAGCAGCCACTCCTTGGACACCCTATACAGGGTTGCTATGAGTTGGAACTGACTTGACAGAACTCGACAACAGCAACAACACATAAGAAGTAGTGAACTCACTTGTACAACTTTACCCAAGGAGAAGAGCCTTTAGTTCAAGAAAGCCCAGCACTACAACCTACTTTACCAGGAACAGAATAAGTTTTTTTGTTGTTTTTTTTTTAATTTTTTAATTTAAGGTTTTTACTATGGATTGAGTGAAAGTTTACAGGGCACATCATCAGTTTCACATTCAACTATTCATATAACTTGTTTCATTACATTGATTATAATCCCCTCCATATACCATCACTTAAAAGTATTTCTATCCACTTTAGCTTTTTTTAAAAAACACACAA